ATTCCATGGCAATGCTCAGCTTCATACTTTCTGTCTCAGTGACCACTTTACCCTAGGACCGCCTTACCTCACACTCACACTACTGTCATGCACTTCTAACTAGTCTCCTGGTTTGTTTTTGCTCTCACTCTGGAAACTCATCTCTGTTTCCATTAATGCCACTTCCTTGCTGAAGACAGAGTGGCTGTGGGTGAAAGACTTCATTTAACTGGTGACTGGGAAGTAATGAAGTCATCAGCCTGGCATTGCAGCTGTCTATAAAATAGACAAAACAGTCTCCTTCTGCCAGAAAATATCCTTAATTCTCCTCCAGGTCTTGTCTATCTGTCGTTCTGCTCCAATATTTCACTTTTCTTATCAGCCACCTCTGATTAGTCTCTTCTGAGCCTCCTAGATAAGTCCTCATGCATAAGGCAGATTTGAATCTATGTTATTTTCTCAAATTTCACAAGGCTTTCTTGTCTCTCAGCTAGATATCCGGAGTACAAGGATGACACTTTTCACTTTCTGTTCATCCTCATTATAGACTCCCTAAAACAGTGCTACGCTCAATGTAGGAGCCTCTATATTGGGACTGAAAGAATCAGGGTCCTGTACAAATCCCCAGGTATTTTGTTTCCTTACTTGGCAGTGCTGATGAACTAAACCTTGCTTCACTCTTGCACTAGACACAAGGTTCTTCCAAGCATCAGTAGCAGACTGCAGATGTCCATGAGCTCTAGCTGTTCGCAAGCATGCCATCAAAGCTCCCAAAGCCCTTCTGCTATCACAAGACCCTAAGGATGGAAGAGATTGTCCCAAAAGTGCACTAACAAAGACTACGACAGTGTTATACACTGACTACTGCAATTTTCAGTTGTTAATGTTCATGTTTCCAATTAAAGTTATGTTTTCAGAAATAAAAATCAAATTTTACATAAATTCTAAAATGAATTAAAGTTCCTAAAGTAACCCTTATTTTAAAATTATTTAATTGCTCTTGTGTCAATAATTTCAAAGTAAGCATAATTTTCATACTGTTAACATAAGAAATCGTAACTTTTTTGCTAATATTTTTACTTTTTCCTTGATACTTAGAAAGCAAACCAGGAAATAAGTCAGGGGGAAAAAGTGAAATACAATAACAAACTAAAACAATTTTCTGCCAAAAATAGGAAAAACCTTCAGTGACTAAAGGTCATTGTGTCTTTAAAAGCAAACACTGACCTTCTCTGCACATTTCAGATTTACTGTTTCTCACTAATAAGGATAAAAGGAAAATCACAAAGAACCTATTGGTATCAGGGATTAAGACACTGGCCATTACTAAGGGGACAGCAAGTTCTGGCGTACCTTGTTATCAAAATAAAGACAGCCTTGTTTCAGAACAGATTCAGAGGGTTTTTCTCAAAAAGGCAAGGAAAACTTGTTAAAAATTATAAACAAATGCACAAGGCCCTGGGTTTGATCCCCAGTACCAAAAAGGAAAAAAAAAAAGCTTAGACCTAAAGGAAGCCAGGCACAGTGGCACACACCTAGGGTCCCAGCTATTTGGCAAGATTGAGGAAGCATGATGGCTTGAGCCTAGGAGATCAAGGCCAGCCTGAGCAACATGTGAGACCCCATTCCAAAAAATTTTTAAATTACAAATAATGGCTTATTTTTATATGCAGAAATCAAAAGTCTTTAACTTTTAGTTGAAAATACTGTTTAAATTATGCAGGATATGCTGTTAGAGTATTATAATTTTAAGATTTGTATAATGAACCATGATCATCATTTTTCATATTATTTACTGAAATATGCTTTATTGCAGTATTTCCTTCAGTGTCTGAGTTTTGATGATATATTTACCCCTATTTTAAAGGATTACAAATAGTTCTTTCTTTAGGTTATGACTCCAAATATTGTCTCTCTCCCAGAGACAAAAACTGCTTCTACCAATGTACCTGTCTTTCAACTTGCCTAAAACAATTTTTAATTACTGTCTCAATCACTTAAATAAGCAAATTATATAAAGCACACATATTTTTATTCTAATAACAAGAAAAAACTTGGTAAAATAAATTAAAACCTTATAATTAAGGAAACTTATCCAGTTTCTGTAACTAGGATAACTCCTTAATTTGTACAAATGACTTAAGTCAAAAACTGCATTCAGCATTGTACAGCAATACTCAACCTAAAATGGCTCTCCTATAGTTCATATAGTGGTAATATTTAAATTGGAATATGGTCAACATCTGCCAAGGTGCCTATATTTAAGCATCATAATAAAAATAAATAAGACAAAAACATATTTTTCTTACCAGTTTTGGCATCAATAGAAGTCTGAAGAATCTTTACCATGTACTTTAAGCTTTCAGGGCTGTAATTCAATAATTTTGGCAAATAATAATCAATCACATAAGATTTTTGATCTAGGCTTCCTTCACATAATATAGAAAGGAGAGGAGAAACTCAAGTCTCATGCCACTGGCCAATCCAAGTGCTGTCAACAGTATGGGATTTCATAGGACTTCTATGATTTTTAAACATTGTTTCCAAGAGGTCACTTGCATAAGGTACCAGTGATTGGTCCCCCATGACCTCTAAGATTTGAGATGGAATAGTTTTGTCTATTGCCAAAATATGTTTAATTCCTATGCACTCTACCAAACACCCCAGGCATATGTACTTTCCTTTAATATGCCATTCCAATAGCAGAACACTCTTAGTCAATTCCAAAAAGAAAGGATCAGGGACTGAGTCTGCCCCTTCCAAAGTTAGTTGGTGTATTTGGAGAAGATTTCTGAATATGATTTTGTTTGGTGTCTTAGAGCATCCAAAAGATGTTCCCAGTGTGTATAGACATATTCCAAAAGTCTCCCAACTATGCTTGAATTCCCATTCAGACGGTCCTTTCAGGCTTGGGGAACTTGATTCAAGGATATATATGGCTGAATTTGTCCAAGATGCAAAGTTTCTAGATAGAAACATTTCCAGTGTTGATTCCTTTATCCTGAAGAAAAATGAAACATGAACCATATTATTGTAAAATGGCACATAAAAGTCATTTCATTTTATAAGCATTTAACCATTTAAAATTTTAATTATAAAGAATAAACAGAAAAAAATAGTTATTATTAAATTTACAATTTAAAAAAGTTACAAAGCCAAAACAGATCTCAAATTTGTGTATGAATCTTTTCACCTTCTAAAAAATAATCCAAAATGAATTATTGGAAACTACTGGAGGTGAATGAATCACTGGCTATTTTCATAGTGATGACAGTTTCAAAAGTCTTTTAAAATATAAGGGCCTCAGGCTGGGGAAAGTTAAGGTAAATGGGGTTTAGGGCAATGAAAATATTCTAAAGTTGGCTGCACTGATGGTTGCACAAATCTAAATGTACTAAAAGTCACACACTTTAAATGTGTGACTTGTATAATATGTAAATTATAGCTATGTAAACATGATCATTTTCTTCTGCTATCCACATGCTCATTATTATCAAGCCATATCTATAGTTTTGACATTTTAAGCACATGAGCACTTTCAGCCATTATGGCAAAAACATACACAAAAGAAAAACACAGAGTGTATCACTGTGAAGTCAGAAGAGCTTATAGAGTTGCTGGCTTGGGTTTCTTATTAGCAACATACTTAAGAAAGCATTTACTCTTCTAAGCTTTACTTTAACCAATCAACAAATTAGATTTCTTATTCTTTCTATCAAACATATGAAAGTCACATTAGATTATCCATGCTGAAATTCTTCATCAATTCTCTAGCAATGTACATATAAAAATTTTCAGTTTTTTGTTTTTTTGTAGGCATTTTATTGCTGGAAATTAAACCCACACATGATAAGTGCTCTACCACTGAGCTGCAGTCTCACAGTCCCAAATTTTTATAGTTTTTAGAAAATGAGAGCGTAGCCAGGCATGGTGGCACACACGAATAATTCCACCAACTTGGGAGTCTAATGCAGGAGGATCACAAGTTCAAGACCAGCCTTAGCAACTTAGCAAGACACTGTCTCAAAATAAAAATAAAAAGAACTGGGGATGTAGGTCAGTGGTGGAGTGACTGGGCTCAATATCCAGTACTATCATCACCCCCCCACACACCAAAAATGGTAACAGAGAAACTGAATGTTAAATTTAATTTTAGAAATTAATTACAGGTTAACTGGTACCAATACTCCCTATATATCTTTCCCTTCACCCCATCTTCTCTTTCACGTCCATTTCATTCCCTACACATATTCTACTTTTAATTTAGAATTTATCCTGAGCATTTTTCATGTAATTACTAAGTATACTGGTACAGTTGCAACTTTTAAATGTCTTATCAGCAAAACAAAATATGAAACAGCAGCATGAAAACTCACTGTGAACTCAAGGTGAACAAAACATGCACAGTGTCCAAGGGCAGGGCCTCTCCACTCAGGCCCATGCTCCCATCCTGCCAGTCCAACATGGCAAGTGTCCCCTGATACAGGAATAAGAGAGCTGACACAGAGATTTCAGCACAACAGAGGCTCCTGCAGCTGTTCATGAAACACTCAGGGATGCTGGTACAGTCTACTGAATGGAGAAGCAAACTGCTAATCTGAAAGAAAAAAAAAACTAATATATATATAGGTTTAAAACTTTCCAAGAGATACTTCAAAATACAAATCAAAAATTGTAATGTTGTGAACAACCAATAAAAAAAAAAAGAATCAAGTAAAAGAATCAAAAGGTCAACTTCTAAAAAAAAAAAAAAAATGCTTTCTCCTGAAATATCCCTGGAAAAGTAACTAAACCTAAAATAGCCATAGACATTAAATTATATTAGTATGAAAAGAAAAAAATATTAAAACTAGGTATATGAATCATTTTACTGATTTGAATGTACTGGTATAGCACACTACATCACCACCACCTACAGGTGATGAGTTTAACACTTTGAGAGGTGATGTGAGAAAAAAAATTTTTCAATTTTATCTAATGATAATTCCTATGTGATCTCATAGAATAGTATGTGTATATGTGTGTATATTGTTTTTTGCACACATAATAAATATAGTAAAAAGTTAAGTAAAACGACAAAATGAGTTTCTAGATACAGCAAGAAAAAGAACTGCAAGCAGTAAATGTAAGTACTGTGGTCTAAATTATTATGCTTTCCATATAGGTGCAGGGGATGTAGCCCAGTGGTAGATCCTATGATTAGAAGACAAAAGACCCTAGGTTAGTCTCCAGCATAACTCAATAAAAATATATGTGTGTGTGTGTGTGTGTGTGTGTGCGCGCATGCATGCGCACAAATATATTTATGCACACACACATGAACACACTCTTTTCCAAATGGATCAAACTCACTTAACAACTTATTGTAGTTTGATTCCTACCTAAAGTTCATGATTTAGAGATATTTCTAATAAAAAGAATATTTATTTATCATAAGGTTGTACTGTGTATGTATCTAAACATTAATTTTCTGCATAATTTTGGTATTACGAGTATTTTTTATGATACTGAGGAGATATAGAACTTAACAAAGAGCACCAAAGAAATTAAAAGGTTATATTCCAAAAATGTTGATGATTGTAAAATAGACTTATAAGAATTGTTACTTTTTTAGTACAGATGAATTTTTCAAGTTCTCTTATTATAAAACAAAAAAAGTCATCAGAAAGATAGTCTATGCAAAAGAATTTTTATTTCACTCTATTAATTTTTTATTTTGGTACAGGTGATTTAACTCAGGGGCGCTTTTATATTGAGGTATATGCCCAGTTCTCTTTATGTTTTTGTTTTCTTTATTTTTTAAAAATAATTTTAACTTCTAATAATATGGTGATTATTCAACCCAGGGTAAGAAGTATGAGAGACACTACAAATTATCTACTAAACATTCATCTGTTCTTTATTGTTGATAGCAAATCTAACATGTCCAGTCAAAGGCAGGATACTCACTTCCCCAATTTTTTTTTTTACAACTAAATGCAGCCAGATGAGAGCACTCAGACTAATAGGATACAAGCAAAAGTTCTTCATCTATCTTTGTTTTTCCTAATTAAAGGTACAGATGTAGTGGGCTCTCTTTCTATCTACCACAATCCTAAAGTCATTGTGGTAGATAGACACAATGACTTTATTTTGTTTATTTATTTTTATATAGTGCTGAGAATCGAACCCAGTGCCTCACACACGCTAGGCAAGTGCTCTGCCACTGAGCCACAACCCCAGCCCTTATGTTTATTCTGAGACAGGGTCTCGATAATTTGCTGAGGATCTCATAAGTTGCAAAGGCTGGCAACAAATTTGCAATCCTCTTATCTCAGCTTCCCAAGTCCTTGGGATAACAGGCATGTGCCACCACACATGGCATTTTTTATTTCACCTTAAAAATATGTTTAGGAAGGTCTTCTCTGTACTGGCAGCAGCTCTCTTGCCATGTCTCCTGACCCCATGAAAATGTATGCCTGGGGGCTGGGGATGTGGCTCAAACGGTAGCGTGCTCGCCTGGCATGCGTGCGGCCCGGGTTCGATCCTCAGCACCACATACCAACAAAGATGTTGTGTCCGCCGAGAACTAAAAAATAAATATTAAAAATTCTCTCTCTCTCTCACTCTCTCTCCTCTTTCACTCTCTCTTTAAAAAAAAAAAAAGAAAAGAAAATGTATGCCTGTTTCAAAATCCTCTCCACCTACTCCTTGGTCAGGAGCATCTCTTAGCTGCTGAGCCAACCACTATCTGCAGTGATGCTGAACAGACCAGAGACAATGACATCTGAGAAACCCTTCTCTAAAGCTTTTCTCCTACCCAATTCTGGGCTTTGCCCTTTCAGGGGCCATAGGGCTCTTTTTGCCAGATAGTGGCCTTTCTCATGCTCTTTGCCATGTGAAAGAGCAGTCTCCACCTTGCTTTCTTCCTATCTGCCCTATATGTTCCTTTTCCTATATCTCCAAAGGCACCCTGGGAAAGTGGTTGGCTCAGGGTATGACAGAAGAAAAACAAATAAATACTGTATAAATAAGAAAATATTGGGAAGCCAAAGGCAGTAGCACATGCCTATAATTTCAAAACCTGGGAAGCTGTGGCAGAAGGATCACAAATTTAAGGCCAGCTTCCACAACTTAGCAAGATCCTGACTCAAAATAAAAAAGAGCTGGGGCTATAGCTCAACATGAAGGCACCCTTGGGGTCAATCATTAATACCAAAAAAAAAAGAAACTAAGTTTTGTTTTGGGGCTAGGAATATAGATCATTAGCAGAGCATTTGCTTAGCATACACAGGCCCTGAGTTCAATTACCAGCACTGCAAAAAAATAAAATTCTAATTCTCAGTAAAGTCAAATTCTTCTCTTTTTTTTCTTTTGGCAGTGTTGGGAATTGAAAAGGTGAGAGAGTCTAGTGCATTCGAAGCAAGTGCTCCACCACTGAGCCACAGTCCCACTCTCTCAATAGAATACAATTAATTCTAAAAAGGAGAGGATGCACTTACCAATTCAGGAGTCTTTTCAGATAGATGAAACATTGTCTTAATAAAAAGAATAACAGCTAATCCCGATGTACTCTGAATAGTCTGTAATAGGTCATCTATTTGGCAAAAGAAAAGGCAACATGTATTAAATGACAGAATTTCCAGTGCCATGCAAAAAGAAAACACTGTAGGGTCAATCCTGGGTAAAGCTCCTAGCTTGACCACTTCTTAGATGAGTAATTCTTAGACAAGTTATTGAACCTCCCAGGAACTCAGCCTTCTCTTCTGTAAAATGGGGAAATATAACCTCTGACACATTTTCATAAGGTTTAAAAAGATAAATGAAGAGGGTTTATGTACTCAATTAATATTGATTCCTTTCTCTCTAGAGCATCCACTCTTTCTCTCCACCTACAGGCTCCCAGAATGCCTCATAGCAGTACCACCTGTCCCCTCCCATCCACCAATACCTCTGAATTCCAACCCACATGCATACACTTTTTCTCAAAGAAATTTCAGGGCTTGTGCAAAAATATCTATATCCACGCTAATCACAAACTTTACTATGACTGGTATTGTACCCTAAGCAACCAAACAATTTTAACTGGATATCTTCTTGTTATTTTATCTTTATTAACTTCTAACAATATGGTGTTTATTCGACCCAGGGTAAGAAGTATGAGAGACACTACAAATTATCTACTAAACATTCATTCTGTCCTTTATTGTTGATAGAAAATCTAACATGTCCAGCCAAAGGCAGGATACTCACTTACCCAATATTTTTTTTTCACAACTAAATGAAGCCAGATGAGAGGGCTCAGACTAATGGGATACAAGCAGAAGTTCTTCAGCTATCTATGTTTTTCCTAATTAAAGGTACAGATGTAGGGGCTCTCTTTCTTCCTGCCTTGAACACAGACATAATGTCTGGAGCTACAGCAGTCACAGCAAACATGAGGCAACAAACAACATGAGTGAAAACCGACATGCCAGAGAAGGAAGATAGAAAACATTTGCGTCCTACTGTGCCTAGCACAGTTCTGGATCACTTGCTACTGAACTTCTTGTTGTAAGGGAAGGAAGAGGAGGCACATTTGCTTAAGTTTCTTAAGTTCAGTTTCCATTACTTGCTGCTAAACATTGTATATCAACATGAAGCTTTAAAATCCTGGAAAATAGCTTCTTTCCTCAATAGCCTCTTACAGCCTGGTTTTTGGTTTCTGTAATGTTAGCAATTGTTGATGCTTAATAATGCCTACTTCAAATCCCTGGGAGTTTCAAACTGATGATATTCAATCACTTCATTTCTTTTTTTAATTTATTAGATGAATCTTTTATTTTTTAAATGGGAATTAAACCCAAGAGCATTCTGCCTTTGTGCTACATCCCTAGCCTTTTGTTATTTCTTGAAATAGGGTCTTGCTAAATTGCCTAGTCTGGCCTTAAACTTGCAATCCTGCTGACTCAGCCTCTTGAGCAGCTGGAATTACAGACCTGCACCACCAGTCCCAGCTGTTAAAGGACTTTTATAAAGAGAAATTTACAAGGCTGGGATGTAGCTCAGTGGTAGAACACTAATCAAGCATGCATGAGGACCTAGGTTCAATCCCCAGGACAATAAACAAATAAATAGAAATTTCCTCTCATCTATTTGGTATCCTAGTAGCATAGTTCCTATGGACAGAAGTAACATGTAAGATACACGAAGGAGTATTGATGAGGCCCACAATCAACAACAACTGTCACCATCTGAAAATAGCTCTTGCTGCTAAAGAGAAATGTAAGTGTTGTTCTCATCTTTATAAACTTCCCTCAAAATTTGGAAATTTCTTCTATGAAGAATTTTCTTTTGCTACTTAAAGTCTGTAGTTTTTCAACACTAAGATTGTTAGGTTTTCTTCTTTGTATACAATATACACACACTTATAAAAGTCCTTCAACATTAACCCTTGCTGCATTGGTACATTTGATAGAAAAAGTCATTAAAAACATGTAATCCAGGACTTTTCTCCCACTTTGAGAGGGTGGAAAATAAGTTCCACATCTCAGTAAAATGTATTGCAGACCATTTTTAGGAGGAATGGACTGACACTCAATTAGAACCATAATTTGTTTGCTGTTACACTTACCATCACTTAAGAACTTGGTGAAAATATTCAGCAAGTCACACATACTTTGCCATATGGGAGAACTGGAAGCCTTCCAGAGATTCCCATGGAAAGTCTGTGCTTTCTTTATTAACATCGTTGAAGCTCTAATGCCTACCAACAAGTCATTCATCAACTGTGTTTGAACAATATGATTTCCAGCAAATTTTCTACAAAGAAGAAAAGACATTATTAATAAAGGAAATTCAAATACATGTTACCATTTTTATACCTCTCCAAAATAAACACTCCTCAAAGGGCCAAAATTAATTTTAGATTATGCTAGATAAGCCTCTATCTTCCAAACATTCCAATTTTGTAAACTTTCGACACTCTTACCTCAACAGGCACCTCTTTCTTAGCCAATGACTAACCTCACTTTCTATTTTAGGGAAAAGGTAAGAAATCAAGAAAAAAATTCAAGAATGAATAACACAATTTAAACTTGAATACTCCTTCAACCTTGATACCCTTTTTTGAACTGGCTTCCAACATGCTAGGCTCTCTTAGATTTCCTACATCACTTCTTAAACACTAGAACCAGTCTACCTTTTTCTCCCTAATTGTTTTTGGGGGTTTATTTGGTTTGTTTTGCTTTGATGGTGCTGGGGATTAAACCCAGGATTTCATGCCTGCTAAATAGGCACTCTACCACTTAGCAATGTTCTCAGCCTCTCCCTCTCTTTTGATGCCAAAGTTTGGATATCTACTAACAATACCCAAACTTTCATTGATTTATATCTCTTTAATTCCAGATTCATTCACTAACTTCCTATTCAATATCTTCACTTGACTATCTCAAAATATGTGAACTTATCTTTAACTCCTGCTCCATCTGATGGAATCTCTATCTACAAACACACTGCAATCATTTTTCCTTCCTCCCTTCATTCCATCTATCAGAAAATCCTCTTGGTTCTACCTTCAAAAAATATCTAGAATCTGATGGCCTCCACTGTTACCATCTTGACCTAAACCTGCTCCTCCTCCCCCCTAAGATTCCTGCAATAGCTTCCAATCAATCTCTCAGTTTCTGTTCTTGCCCTTCCCAGGCTTTTTTTTTCCTGGTAGTATTGAGGATTGATCCAGGGCCTTGCAGATGCTAGGCAACAGCGCTACCTCTGAGCTATACCCTATCCCACAGTATATTTTCAACACAGAAGAACATAGAGTAATCCTATTAAATAATAAGGTAGGCTGGGGTTGTGGCTCAGTGGTAGAACACACACCTAGCATGTGTGAGGCCCTGGGTTTGATCCTCAGGATCACATAAAAATAAATAAATAAAATAAAGGTATTGTGCCCAAGTACAACTAAAAAATATTAAAAAAAAAATCATAAGACAAGCTAGGCATGGTGGCACATGCCTACAATGTTTTGTAGTCCCAGCCACTCAGAAGCCTGAGGCAGGAGGATCACAAATTCAAGGCCAGCCTCAGCAACTCAGTAAAGCCCTAAGCAACTTAGCAAGAACCTGTCCCAAAATAACAAATAAAAAGAGGTAGGGATATAGCTGAGTGATAAAGCCCCCCTGGATTCAATCCCCATTATCAAATAAAAAAGAAAAAAAAGTAAGTAAAAAACACTTGGGGGCTGGGGTTGTGGCTAAGTGGTAGAGCGCTTGCTTAGCATGTGTGAGGCCCTGAGTTTGATCCCTGGCACCACATAAAAATAAAAACAAATAAAATAAAAGGTATCGTGTCCATCTACAACTAAAATTTTAAAAAACTGACCATTCCTCAAAACATTAAACACAGAATTATCGTATGGTCCAGCTATTCTACAGAGACTCAAATATGAACACCAATGTTTAGCGCAGCATTATTCACAATAGCCAAAGGAGGAGAAAGTCCAAATGTCCATCAACATATGGATGAATAAACAAAATGTGGCATATAGATAGAGAGACTATTTGTAAATAGGAATAAATTTCAGATACATACTACTGCAGAGATGACTCTTAAAAACATTTTTTAAGTAAAATAAGCCTATTACAAAAAGACAAATATGATTCTCTTTATATGAGTACCTAAAACAGGTAAATTCAAAAAGCTACAAAAAGTAGAATAGAAGCTACTAGTTACTAGGGGCAGTGGAGAGGGAACTCTCTTTTGAATACATTGAATTTGAGGTACCTGTAAAATATCCAACTTGAGATGTCCAGAAATAAGCCTACCACCCAGAGAAGAGAACTTAGAGTGATAATTTGGGAATCCTGACTATATAGATGGTAGATAATACCAAAAAAAAAAAGAATGATTCTAAGCAGTCAGAAAAAATAAAATAAAAAGAATTGAACCCATATTTAAGAGAAGAGCTGATGAAGAAGAGTCTAAAAAGAGACAGAGAAGGAGCTTCTAGTGTGGCAGAAGGAGACATCACATTGAAGATGGCATACAGGTATTACTTCTGTTCCCTTCCAGAACCTTCCTAAACCAATAGCCATAGGCTTTAAGACATAAAGACATAAATACATAAGGGCAGCAAATAAGACAATCACCATACTTTAAAAGTATGATTCTGAGCCTAAAAGGCTCAGAGATTGTGGACACTAAGCATTTCTTGAATTGGAGATAAATGCAAAGCTGAAAACAGGAAGACTGGCTGCAAGCCTACTTGAGAACTCTGCATCACATTCCCTTGCCAACAGAAAACTGGTTTACTTTTGGAGAATATAAACTGTCAAGTGTCTGGGAAAAAAAAAAACAGCACACACAATGTCATATTGCAGACAGGAAAATTATGTAAATGCATGCACAATAGATGCCTACAGCCAAGACCTCAACTTTCTGCCCTCATTCATCAACCAGAATATTAAGACAGTGATCTGATAGTTCTTTTATAGTGAATCTACCACTAGATCAAAACAAGACCTAAAATTAGCGACATAAAGGGTTCCATCAAGATACAGCCCAGGGGCTGGGATGTGGCTCAAGCGGTAGCGCGCTCACCTAGCATGCGTGCGGCCCGGGTTCGATCCTCAGCAGCACCACATACCAACAAAGATGTGTCCGCCGAGAACT